GTTGTCATCATCAAAAAGGGGGAGACTGTGAAATCAAGCTTTCCAAATGTTTTGATGAAGACAAGCTAGCATACAAAAATGAATGGATCAAGATAGAAGATTTATCTCAAGTAAGATTCATTGATCAAGATCAACATTTCAAGACTTATGGCTTTAGGTATATGAAATTTTTGATCTTATGCTCTTAGTGCTCAAAACTATTTTTAATCATGCATTTACTTTATTAAAATAATATTTTGAGTATATACTATGTATGATTGAAGAAGGATGTTTTAAATTGCTTAAAATATTTTAAAAAAATAATGATTTTTCAATTTTTGTACACAAGCAATCGATTGTCATGCTAGGACAATCGGTTGCAGTCAAAAAACAAAAGTTTTTGTTTTGACAACAATCGATTGTCATCTAGCAGCAATCGATTGTCATGTGTTTTGTTTTCAAAAATTTTGAACGTTGACCTATGAGCAACCAATTGCTCCTCAATGACAATCGGTTGTCATAGTTATATTTTTCAAATTTTTTAAACGTTGCTTTTACAGCAATCGGTTGTTGCTTTAGTGTAACCGGTTGTTGTGCTTCAGATTTTGAAAATTTTCATTTTTCCAGCAACTTTTTTTAACACCTTTTCATGGCAATCTTTGTATCTTTTCAAATACATTTTTTCCAGTAAAAATGGTTTAAACATTGCTATGATTCATTAAAGAGGTATTACTACACTATAAATTATTTTTATTTAGAATTTTGAAAATACAACAACAATCACTAACAACTATTACTTTCTATTCTTTTGATCATACTCTCTATACTCAAGATTTCTGTTCATCATTTTCATATACATACTGAAAATTGTTCTTGAGCACTTAGAAGAGTATTCTATCTTAAATTTCATATTGAATAGAAAATATCAATCAAGTGATTGACACTGCTCTTTCATTATTCAAACTCTTATACAAATCAAACAAACTATTGTATCCTTGTTTTCAGGATTGTTGGAAACAAGAAAGACACTTAGGGAGGATTGTTCTCTTTGTAGTTTTAGTGAAAATCCAAGAGGATTGTTCTTGGTCCAAGAGGATTGTTCTTGGTTGTTTGGTAGTCTTTGTACAAATTACCAACTATAAGGAAATCTCTTTCATGTTGAAAGGGGACTGGAGTACTCTCGGACTGTGAGGGGAACCAGGATACATCTCTGTGTTTTTTACTTTCCGCATTTATTGCTTTCATCACTTATCAGAAAAAGAAAGAAAAGAAACTCGTGCAAAAATATTCATACAATTCAGAAAAAGTTTTAAAGAACCTAATTCACCCCCCTCTTAGGCGCATCTAAACTTACACGATGGACTTTACTTCTTTGTTCATTGCTTTCACCACTTTGAATCTTTCAATGCTTCAGTTGCATTTACAGGTTCGACATCTGCATAGAAAGCATAATATATCAGCTAACCTTCGTTATCAACCACATCATTTGATGTAATTACACAATCTTTCCACCTTGCAGGCATGCGTCTTGTTCTTTGAGGTCTGCTTTCACTTGATTGATCTCTAACTTCCTCTTGTCGAACTTCTCTTTTGACTTGAGTTTCTAGTTCTTCAAGCAAGATTCTCACTGAATATTTCTTGATAATTTCAGTCTAATCCCATTCTTTAAGTTCATCTATGATCATGTCCCTGCTGATCACAATCTTCTTGTTTACTGAGTCGAACAACTTGTAACCTCCTGCCGAATGATATCCAACTATGATCATTTGACTCGACTTGTCATCAAGTTTTCTTCTCAACAGATCTAACACATGTGTATGTGATATTGTTCCAAACACCTTTAGATGACTCAAGTTAGGCTTCACATCAGACCAACATTCTTCTGGAGTAATTCCATCTAGCTTCTTTGTCGGACATATGTTCAATATGTATGTTGCAGTTGACACAACTTCACCCCCAAAACTCTTTAAGTAAATGCTTGCCTTTCAATATACTTCTCACCATATTCATGATGGTTTGATTCTTCCTTTCTACAGTTCCATTCTACTTTGGAGTGCAGGGTGGCACCACCTCATGCCAATCACTTATCTTTCACATAACTTGTCGAAGTCCTTCGACACATATTCTCCACCGCCATCAATTCTCGAAACTTTGAGCTTTCAACCACTTTTCCTTTCGACCATAGATTTAAATTTGCCAAATATCTCGATCACTTCATTTTTTTTCTTGATCAGATAAGTACATAGTTTTCGACTGAAATCATCTACGAACATGACAAAGTATTTGTTACCTCCAAACAAATCCACCTGGATTGGTCCACATACATCAGAGTATATGACTTTGTGAATACCCGTTTACTTACGGATACAGATATAGATTTGATGGTATTCGTACTCACAGGTATCTGTATCCGTTAATAATTAACAAAATTACTTAAATATTAATTTATTTAATCTAAAATTATTATTATTATTATTATTATTTTGTTGAATATGAAACTATTATTATTTTGTTAAGTATAATATAATTATTCGTAAAAAGAAGATATAAAATAAATATAATTTATTTTTGTTATTATTACGTGATAAATTTAAAACTATTTTGTTGTCTTTAAAAAGGATAAAAAATTTAGTTTATTATGTATTTTTTTTTTAAAGTAAAAATATCTATGGATATCAGTATATATCCGCAGGTATCTCAAAATTCACGGATACATGTCTAACAGATATCCGTATGGATATGAGACAGATATAGATATTATATTATTAAACGGGACAGTTAGCAACAAACTAATACCAGTATTCATAGGTATCCATTGCCATCTCTGATCATAGGCATTTGACAATATATTTGAACAATCCTATGTTTAGAAAACTGCTTGCGATTATGTTGTTTTAATAGTTTCATATAAATTTATTGTTTTTCGGAATTAGTGATTAATTTGCGAAAAATAGGATATAGGGCTATGTTTTAAACATATGACCATGAAGAAATATTAAATTTATTTCACTCTAAGCATGTCATATGACCATCAAAGTTATGTTTTCTTGCTGTGATTTGAAACATAGACTTGTTAGGTTTTAAGCCTAATATGAAAGTCCAAGATTCAATGAACATGTTGTTTAATTGTGATTTATTTATAGGAAATGTGCTAGCATGTGTCATAAGGCCTATTAATAAAATTTTAGAAATATCATCTTAAAATATGCATATTCAAATTCTTTAAAAGTTTTAAACTATAGCGTGCGATTTCTTAGAATTGCATCACATTAGATTTTTTTTTTCTTTACTGAGATTGATAGATTATAAATTATTTATTTTCATAGCTTACATGAAATCTAGGACTAGATTATCTTTTTTATAATTTCTTCTGAAGATCAGGGTAGTTTTTAGTGTTCTTCATCCTTAAACATGCAAAAGATTTAAAGTCATTATCAAGTATAGCGTCTAACATTTTTGTATCGTTTTCATAGGTTTCTATATTATAAAAATCTTCACTTTCTTTGTTTACATGAATAAACAAGTTCAATGGATAGTGTAGGTGATTTTCAATAATGCCTATCATGATTTTATTGCCGCAACATCAATTGCTCTTGAAGCCAAAGAAACTTCTAACCCAAATAAACCACGTCAACAGATACCGCCCTTGAAATCCTTAAGCAACAGTGGGAATTGTGTAGAGTAGCATGTGATCATGCTGAAGATGAGTAGGGTAGTTCGTTGGCTTGTGACTGAATTGTAGCATGGCTCTGGAATTAGTTCATCTAGTTCAGTTCTTTCATATCTCTCACCCGCTTTTGATACCAGGTTTTATGAAGATTCTGCTCAGTAGAATTTATTAATATTTTTTTAGTATGTCTTTTAGTGGAGAACTGTGAGTTATTAATCTTACATTATTTAAAAATAAAATAAAAAAGATGTTGAACATTTTATAAATGATATAATGCATACACCTATTATCTTAAGGTTTCTGGTTCATATATAGTGTCTATTTGATATTATTGTTGAAAAGTCTGAAAGAGTTGTAGTATTAATAAGACTAATGCTCTAAGACCACAAGAGAAGGAGACGTCGCATCTCTCTTAAAACCTTAAGATTTTTGATGAATACGTGGTGAATATTTTTTGACACCAAAATTTTAAATGTTAAAAATTGTATTTTATTTTTAGAATGATTAATGTAAAATATTTCTTTCTTTTGAGGTGGAAACATAAATAATTATAACCTGATATGAATCAATATACCAACTAAATTTTTAATTATAAAATAATTTTTACATAATCACATGATGAGATCATATTAAAAAATTTGATGCTTATTTATTGTTTATGCACCTTCCTTATTTATAAATATTTACAAAAACTAATAAAAGAAGATTTTTTAAATATTTTGTATTCTTTATTAATAGGAGTTAAAATTGGAATAAAGCCTTCAAATATTTTTAGAAAATAGCTCTATGACAAACACTCAATAAATAAATGAACTCTAAACAACAGAAAGTATAAAAAATAATTATATAAAATAATATTGTTTTTGATTAATTATTAAGTTCATTTTTATTATTTGTCTTGGACTTCTAAAAAAAAATTAAGACTAATGATTCTAGATCTTGGAAGTATGCATTAAATTCAACATGAAAATGATAGATTTTGAACAAGATGTATGCACAATTGTAAATAAAGATGAAAATGATAAATAAATGATGAGAAATGTGAGTCAAAGATAGAAATATGCATGCTAAGTTGGTAACTCACAATCATCCAGCATTATTTTATCAAAATCAAATAGAACAACTTTTTTATTACTAGTGTGATGAATGCATTAAATTCAACATGCATGTACAATTTTGCACTAAAGATGAAAGTGATAGATTATGAAAAATATATTGAATTTATTTATTTTTGGATAAATCAGCAAAATTATTTAAAACACCAAATAACACCATTATTATAACTTTAGACTTGAAGCCCGCTAAGCAAACACTCAATACTACACTCAATATTTATTTTTTGGTCATATAATTAACCACCCGCTGCTTGATACTCTCCCTTATCTCTTGCACAAATGTTGTTGGATTGTCTAGATTTTGATTCCACATAGCATCTTTTTGATTTTATCACGAAGACATCATGTTGAATTTTATTAAATTCAATATGCACGCCCAATTGGAAATAAATATAAAAATGATTGATTACCATGATAAAGAAATGATGAACTCTGCATCTGTATAAGATAGGAGCATACATATAAAGCTAGAAAGTAACTCACAATCAATAACAGCGGGAGTAAAGAGAGGAGAAACAAAACACTATATGTCATTTCTTTCTATTATGTTATTGTGGGAATACAATTTTGTTGTGAAAGATGCATTAAAGTGGATGTGTGTTGGACTATTTATAAGTGAATAAGAAGTACAAAATCTGAAAACATTAAGGCTTTGTTTGGCTAGATTATTTTTTAAGTTTATAGTTTATGTCTTACTCGCCTTTGGATATTTTCGACATTTCACACAAATTAAAAAACATAATTATTATATGAAAAAAATCATTATGTATAATGTTATAATATTATTCTTTATTGATTTAAAAAAAAAGAAGAGAAATTAAGAGAATTAAAAGAATGAAGAATAATAATAAATAATAGAAAATATATTAAAATAATAATTAATATTAAATTAGAATTATAAAATAACTTATTATTTGAGACAATTTTAAAATACAATTTTTTTAAGAGATTTTTATTTTTAAGCAAATGAAAAGTAGAAGTACACATAACATTGGATATTAAGACTTTGTTCTGCAATATTATTTTTTAAAATTTTAGTATTTGTCTTATGATTTATAAGTTTATATGTCTAAAACTATCTACATTAGTAATAGTTATAAGTTTATATGTCTAAAACAAACTATATTAGTAATAGTTATTATCTCGTGGATTTTTGTGTACATTTGTTTTAATTTTAAATAAAAAAAAATTTAATTGTTTGTTTAATATCTTTATTTTTTATTTGAAGTTTCTAAAGTTAAGTTTTTGTTTTTTAAGAGTGAATTTTGAAAAAACTACTCTATTAATCTATCATTTAAAAATTAAATTTTTTTTTTAATCTTAAATTAACGCTTGTAAAAGGATAAAAGTGATTTTTATGTAATAAAAGGTTCTTTAAATATTTTAAATATATTATTAAAATGACAAACATCCAAAACCTATGTTATATGCAATCAATAGCTAGAATAGTTAAAACCTATACATGTATTCGGTGCTCAAAAATAGGGAAGGTCATATCTTAGAATTTTGTGTTTTGTGCAAGAAACAGACGCATAAACATTGTGAATCGGTCATGTCTTACTCATTGTAAGTTTATGAGTCTTCTGCTATTAGTTCATAGAAATTCTAACCTAATCAACAATGAAAAGATATGACAAAATAGTTTCACGGAAAATATTAAAAATAACGTGAACGATTTTGCACGCTTAAGTAGTAAAGATCACTTGTTAGATTTGGATGCTTAATTAGATAATCTGACAAGATCAAATATAGAAGTAGTTAAGGTAACATACTAAAATGCTTAATTAGATAATCTGACAAGATCAGATATAGAAGTAGTTAAGATAACATACTAAGTTAAAATAACATTATTAGTTATCTAAAAAGTAATACTACCAGTGATTTTTATCTAATGAGTCACAGAGAAGAAGTTGAGTTTTTGCATTTATAAATATTACATGTTCTTTATAAATATCACTTTTGTGAAAAAAAATTATTCTATTCAATTATTGTTTTCAAATTTTAAAATAGTAATTGTTATTGTTTTATCAAAATTACTTCTAACTATTATTATGAAAGAGAAAGAATATATTAAAATGATTAAAAATTAAAGATATTATAAATAAAAGAAAAATTATAATTTAAAAAGTAATAACAATTATTACTAGTTTTCTTGATAGGTATAAAAAATAAAAAATGTAACAATTAAAAAAAAACCAAAAAAATATTAATTAATGGGTTGAATATACCCTACCTCTGTGAAATTCGCTTTATTCATACTTTAAAATATTAAAATTATATGTTTTTTTTCTCCTTAACTGCATAAATTAAGTTCTTATAATATATATATATATATATATATATATATATATATATATATATATATATATATATATATATATATATATATATATATATATATATATATATATATATATATATATATATATATATATATATATATATATATATATATATATATATATATATATATATATATATATATATTATTTATCCTTCAAATTCAATGTTTAATTTATATATTTAAAAAATAATTCAAAAAAATAATTATAGAGATAATCTAAAAAATATATATTATACAGAGTAAAACGAAAATCACACATGAGTAAAATGATATTAACAATTAATTAATACCATGCAGCAATTTTTGTTTAATGTTAAATTCTCAAATTTTATTATAAATGATTTTTTTGAGTAGTTATTATAAATGATTGTTATTAAATATTATAAAAGTCCAAAGGTTATGTGATGAGAAAACCAAAAGCTTGAAGGTTTAAAGTAATGTTTTTTTATTAATGCTTGAAGCGCTAATAATAAAGGGACATAGATGATAAAATAAATGCTTCAAATTAAAAATAATTCATTTCATCTCGTTATTAAAATGTTCTATTTAAAATATAAGTAATTTTTTTAGGAAATAATTAGACGAGTTAATTTAATAATGAGTAGAATAGTTGAATAAATTAAAGTTAATAAATAATAATGAAACAAAAATATATTGTATTAATAATGTAAATAGATAAGACAAAATAATAATACAAAAGATATTTTATGTAAGACAGATGTCATAATTTTTTGTTACAAAAACAAATGGCATAATTTTTTGTGTCATGTAGTTTAATTATTGGAGTTTATCTTTAAAGATGAATAAATGAATTCTCACAAATTTAAATTGGTAATCATGCATATCCTTAAAAGATTATCAAATAAATTGAATTAACACGATATGATGTTATAATTTTGCTATCGAAAAAATATTGATTATTTAAAGTGGTCAATGATGGATTAATAAATTTTGTGCTACCATTTATTTTTATTTATAGTTAGTGAATTATATTTTTTACTTATTTTTTATATTTGTGATATTAAAAGATTATAATTGTTATTAAATTTTTATCACAATATTTGTCCAGTGAATAATTAAATAAATTGCAATTATACATTTTAAATATTCACATTTATATTTAAAAAAATATTTTTTAACTAATTGATTAATGATAAATATTAAACTAATAATTGAAATGTGTGAGACTAGAGCTTGTTTATGGATAGGTTAAGGAACCCTAGTTTCTCTTTCTCTTTCTCTTTGTAGCAGAAGGGTTAAGTGGGTTGATTCATAGAGTTTTTGAGCTTAGTCTCTCTTTTTTTGGTTTTAAAGTTGGCCCCTCTAATTTGTAGGCTTCTCATATTTAGTATATTATAATTCCTTCCTCTTTGTTCAGTCGTCGTTGAGATTTCATGGACTATTAAAACTATCATGAGGGGGTTTGAGCTTGCCTCGTGCCTTGGGGTTAATCTTATAAGAGTAGTTTGATTAGGGTAAATTTTGACCCCTCTTTCCTCCATCTTGACGAGGATTTTTGGCACTATAAGATTAAGTCTCTACCATTTTAATACTCAACGTTTTAAGTTGAAGTCAACCCATAGTTGGAATCTACTTAGGAACCTTTGTTAAATCTAGTCTCGGAGATACTTCATGCTTGGTCTCATATGCATGTTAGCATAGGGAACATGGTTATTCCTTAACTTTGTGTTTAACGTTGTTCTTGGTTTCTTTCTCTCTTTTCTTAAGATGCTTGTGAAAGTGTGGAAAAAGTTATTTAGGATTATAGGTGGTTTAAAGTTCGCAATGTTGGAACACGTTTGATTCGGTAACCATCCTTAAGTTTTGATTATAAAAAAGTATACAATGAATGGAGAACAGTTTTGTACTCTAACGATTTTTTAAGTGCACAAATTCTTTAAGAAGACTATGGACTCTCCACTAGCAAGTTGTAGACTATAGACTAGTGAAAGTTTTGGACTCTGAACGAGTAACTCTGAACTCTAGATATCAAACACACTATGAACTTGTGATGTATACAAAGACGTGTTTACAAACAAAGCTACATCTAAAAGCATAAAGTCAAATCTTGAAAGGATCTTATCCAGAATGACTATGATATTTTCAAGACTCTGAAATCTCAATATTTTCAAGATCTGAAGACCAACTTTGATCAAGCTTCAACAATTTATATTTGAAGCCTCTAACACAAGAAGTTATATTTGAAGGAAGATAGTGAGGAAATATTAAAATAAAACAAAATCATATATCCTCTCCACTACCCTGCAAAAAGGATTGTACTATTGTACCAACTTTTTCAACACGTCCCATCTTTCCTACCACTATGTTGTAAGCATCACTCTTCTACTGAAAACCAAACGTCTTCATGCAAGCTATGATTTAATAAATTCCAACTTCACCTTCCAACATATATATTCATCATTTATATAAAGGAATACTTGAAGCAAGGGAAATAAGAAGAAGTGAGAAGAATTAAGTAATGAGCATTGAGAACTAAAAGTTGAGAAAATGCACAAAGAAGAAATCATTATTATGCTGAGAGCATTATATCTTTCATTCTTTGTTAATCTTGTTGTATTGAAGTTGTGTGTATTAGCTTTCTTGAACCACTTTGTAAACATAAAATCTTGCAATCTTAACCAGTTGGTTGATTTCCTTGAGGGACTAGGATATCATGAGAATCCTTGAGAAGACAATGACTACGGTATTTGTGGTTGTAATCAAAGTTTTTGATTAGTAGATTAAGTTATTTTTGAGAAGGAAAAATCTCCTTGTCGGGTGGACTGGAGGTAGCCTTGTTAAGGGTTAACCAGGATAAAATTCTCGAGTTCTTTATCTTTAATGCATCTCTGTTGTTTGTGTTTAGCAGATCGAAAAACTTTTAATCTTGAAACTTAATTCAACTCTCTCTTTCTTGTGTTGAATTGAACCTTGAATTTGCACCACAACTTCGGTTACATTATTGATTGTTATATCAAATACTTAACAATGTCAAAAAGATATAGTTATTAAAACACAATGGTAGGAGTTCCTCAACCTACAACTAACAGTGATAAAGATCATTATTCTTCTAAACCTCTAGTTTTTTATGGTAATGAGTTTGATTATGGAAATGAT